ATAGTGAGAGCCTTTGTTAAAAAAAAAGAATGAAGAGTGGAAAGGGAAGGAGGAAAGAGGTGGGGTAGGAAAGGGGAGAAGAAGAGGAGGAAGAAAATTTTATCCTAGATCTAAGGGGGAAAAAGGAAAGACACTGCCACTGGGCTGATGCTAGACTTGATGTCCTCCTGAAGACCTGGGCCCCGGGGCTGGTTGGGTGCTGGTATGTCCAAAGGGAGATGAGAGGGCTAGGTCTCCAGGTCCACAAGTGCTGGCTGTTATGAGAAGAAACGCCTGCTCCTTGTGTGCTGAACTGCTGTTTAGAGTAGAGAATCTCCCTCCCCTGAGCTTCAAGGCAAGAGAAGCTTGTGACATTCAAGCAGGAATGTGTAATTCCCATTCTCAGTTTACCAATCTCTCCCTAGAATCCAGATCAGCAGAACTCACTGCCCCTTCCCCAAATAAATACACATAACAAGCAAGGAAGAAACTGCATCGCCAAAATGGCTCAGATTACCATTCACATGAATGTCTTCTATATGGAATTAGTGTTTTTCCATCTGCCAGAGGGCAGATGAGGAAAGTGTGAAATAGGTTTTAGTGAAAACCATGTGAGGGTCATATGTCTTTATAGGGAGAAGGAAGAAGTCCTATCTACTCTCTTCAGGTAACTGGGGGAAAGGATGTGGGCAGGTGCAGCTAGCAACTATGAGAATGTAAGGAATGAAAACCACATAGCATTCCAAAAGAAACAAGGTATTTGGGATGGGTAGATAGTAGTGAAAGGAAATGAGGCTGAAGACCAGAAGGAACCAAGTATTCTCAAGTGTCTTTCTACAACATGACAGTCCAAATTTTTGTCATAAATTAAAAGGGGAACCATTTTCAGATTTAGCATAAAAGCTTCTAATGTTATTTGAATATTTAGAGAAACTTCACCATTCAAGATAAATCTGTATCATCCTCATTTAGTAAACACAAGTCATGGACTGGGCCTTCAAGGTTGTCATAGGAGTTAAAACAAGTAAGGGGGGAATGCTCACACACACACACACACACAAACCCAAGTATGATTATGTTGTGTGTGCAGTAGGGAGGTACCCCAACATAAGGAAAAGGAAAAGTAATTGGGTCTGATTAGGAGATCTGTCAGTGGGTGAAGTTGACTCCGAGTGGATGTTAACGGTCCTTTGAAGGGAAGAAAATAGGAAAAGGCAGAGAGTAAGGAAGCCATTAGTTTTCAATATTTAATCCTGAAATCTTCATGCAATAATAGTCAGATGGCTACTGGGTCATAGAGGAGAAAGAGAACATGAGAGAAAATGAATGTCAACATAGCTCAGCAAAGAGCTGAATCTCACTTCCTTATATTGTCAACATGGGCATATACCTGCTTGATTGGAGTGAATTCCATGAAATCAAAGAGAATAAATATTAGCCCCACATTAGAAGAGTGCATAAATGACTAGAAGAACTATCTATCAAGGCACCAAGAAATAAATTTGGGAACCCCTAAAGCTAATCAAGGCGTACAAAATAGAGGAGGAGTACCTATTCCCCGTGGCTGCACTAACAAATTATTACCAGCTGAGTGGGTAGCTTAGAGAAGGAAAGATTTATTCTTTCACAGTCATGAAGTCAAAAAGCCCAAAACCTGGACATGACAGTGTTGATCCTCCCTGGAATCTCTGAGAGAGAATTGATTTCATGCCTGAGGCCTAGCTTCTGGTTGGAAATACTTGGCTGTTTTTGCTTTGTAGATGTATCAACCCAATTTGTCTCCACTGGCCCCATTGGCTCAAATTGTCTCTATATCACTTTCTCTTCTGTGAATCTTTGTGCCTCACTCTCCTCTGCCTTTTCAAAATAAGGACATTTGTCATTAGATTTAAGGCCCGCCTTAAAATCAGAACAGTCTGTTTCGAAACCTTTAACTTGTTTGTAATGCTGAAGACTTCTTTCCCAAATAAAGTCATATTCAAAAGTTCAGGGGATCAGGACCTGGCATGTCTTTTTGGTACCATGATAGGTGTATAATAGAGAAGCTCTATAGTTAGTATGGGGGTTCAAAGGTCACATGCATCCACAGAACAGCAAGAAACTATGGTTTTGAACCAGACAGGCTGGTTCTGCCTGGTTCTGCCACTCCCAGGTAGTGAAATCTCTGTGCTGTGGCTTTACCCTTAGAAATGGAAAACAACAACAACAACAAATGCTACATCATCATATTCATAGGGCTACTATGGATAGTTTAATTCAAGTGCAAGGTTAGTAGTATCTAGCCCCAGCTAAGTCTGGCATGGACTTCTGTCTGAAAATAGGCTACCTCCCTGACTGTCTGCTGTCAGGAATCTAACTAAATTATTTTGGTAATATCTGCATAGACATTATGTGTATATGTATGTGTGTATGTCCATGAACGTGTATGCATCTGTGTATATAAAGGCTGTTAATGTTGTAAGGTAAATCATCCCAGAAGCCGCATTTTAAAATATAGAATATTGGGGTCTTTATTATATAGTTAACAGGCTGCAGGCCACCAGTTGTTACAAAGGCCTGCAGCACGCAAATATACATAACCCAGCCAGGAAACATGCTAAAGAGGAAAGAAATAACAAGAACAATACCAACAAGCCAATCCAGCTCCAATGGAGAGCTGAATTGGGATGCCATGCTGACTGGAGACTAGCCAGGAGACAGGACCAGGACATGGTCACAGAGACACACGTGGCATGGAGTCCATGTGGCTAGCTGGTCCGGGCCTAAATAGGTTGGCGCAGGGGACAGATCCATAGGAAATTCCCAGTCCCAGGCACTAGACTGACAGATTCAGTAACCTATCAGCCAGCATGAAGACCTATCTTCCCCAGCATGAAGACAAGATGCCAGACCTATAATCTACCATATGACCTGGCCTCCTTACTTCATTAAGACTAGAAAGACTGTATAGAAACTGAAAAGGGTAGGAATTAACTACAGCATTCAAGAAACCATGTTGACACAACTCAGACTAAGTGCAATTTAACCTGTGTAAAAACTCAAGACTCAGTTTTTTTCTTAGATATCTAACAAACAATATACCTTCACAGGTGACGGATGTAGTCTTTCAGTTAAATGTTCATGTAGAGAAGGGTGGTATAGCATAGAATGGAGAGGAATTTCATGATAGAGGAGTGCTATAGCCAATAGTCAGCCATATAGGAGGGTTGTAAAGCTCTTTGATTTAGGACTCCAGGCCTAGAAGTTCCACCCTTTCATTCTCCTGTCTAAATTTGGACTACTAGGAAGTAAAAAAGTCTTTTGAAACAGAGGCTCACTTTTTTTGCGGGGGGGGGGGGTATGTTGTAGGGCTTGATCGAGGGGCCTGGGCATTATCCCTGAGCTTTTGTGCTCAAGGCTAGTTCTCTAACATTTTGAGCCACAGTTCCACTTCTGGTTTTCTGGTGGTTAATTGGACATAAGAGTCTGATAGAGGGGCTGGGAAGGTGGCTCAGCAGTAGAGCACTTGCCTTGCATGCATGAGGCCCTGGGTTCGATTCCTCAGCACCACATAAGCAAAAAGAAAAAAACTGGAAGTGGCTCTGTGGCTCAAGTGGTAGAGCGCTAGCCTTGAGCTGAAGAGCTGAGGGACAGCGCCCAGGCCCAGAGTTCAGGCCCCACGACTGGACCCCCCCCCCTCCAAAAAAACAAAAGAGTCTGATAGAGGCCTGGCTTCAAGCTGTAATCCTCAGATCTCAGCCTCCTAAGTAGCAAAGATGGCAGGTATGAGCCACCAGCACCTGACTTAGTGGTTCACTTTTGTGTGTTGGCAGTGACTATGTTATTCCGTTTTACCTGCTGTGATATTCTGATCCGGGGGAGCTACTTGAAAACATATAACACAACTATTTTGAAGATGCCAATACTAAAGTAGAACATAAACGTATTTATACTCAATGAATTGCACAATGGATAATGAGAAATTAATCCTTTCTCTGGTAAATGTGAATGTAAAAAACAGATATTTTAAGGTATACTGTTTGTATAGCTCTGGAGACTATATATATTTAACTTATCTTTTTATATTTTAAAAATGTGACCAAGATAAAATTAATAACTACCTTTATATTTTTCCCTTGTGGTTTTGAGGATCAAGCACTCTACCTCTGAGGCTTATCCTTAATTTCATAACTCCACTCTTCTTACTGTCTATAGTTGAGTGACTTTGTGAAGAACTATAATTTATAACATCCACTTTCAGATGCCAGTTGCAAGATTATCAAATTCAATAGTCCATGTATTTCTATTTTTGCTCTGAAGCTTCATGAGTTTTGGTCTCCCCCACCCCCTCCACACATACACAAACTTTTTTTGGGGGGTGGGGGGTCTGGTCATGGGGCCTGAACTCTGGGCCTGGGCGCTGTCCCTCAGTTCTTCAACTCAAGGCTAATGCTTTACAACTTGAGCCACAACGCCACTTCCAGCTTTTTTTTTCTTTTTGCTTATATGGTGCTGAGGAATCGAACCCAGGGCCTCATGCATGTAAGGCAAGCACTCTACCACTGAGCCACCTTCCCAGCCCAATACACAAACTTTTTTGAGACAGGATAACATTATTAGCTCAACCTGACCTGGAGCTCACTAGGTAGCTCAGGGTGGTCTCAAATTCATAATCCTCCTTGCTTCTATCTCCTGAGGGCTGACATTATAGGTTTGTTTCATCATACCCACCTCAATCCCTACCTTTAGTAATAGAACTCATTGTACCAAAGATCTAACATGAGCTGCTGTGCAGGATAGCTTTTAAATGCTACCAGAGATCAAGTGCATAAAGAAAAAGCTATTAAGCACACTTTTTCTTATTTTGGAAATCATGAAGAAAGCAGCTCCACCCAATTCCTTGATATTAGAGTTTGCTCTGTAAGAGAAGAAACTGAAGTCCATAGAACTATGGCAGACAATCACTAGCTGTAGACCTCAACAGCGACAAGCCCAGGTATGCCATGTTCTGCTCTCATTGTGTCTCTCAACTCTGCCCACAGGTGTGTGTCATAGGTTATGTTCATTTGAGAACTGCCCATTGAGAATCGCCTGGTGTCACTGAGTGTCTGTTGGTGCTTGGGTTCGCTGCTTGTCTTCTTGCCATGTCTAACGAAGTAGAAACAAGTGCAACCAATGGTCAGCCTGACCAACAGGCTGCCCCAAAAGCTCCATCGAAGAAGGAAAAGAAGAAAGGTATGCAAAAATCCTCTGGAGGCCAGTAAAGGGAGGTAGATGTGGTTCCCTCTAAAAAGAAATGTGAAATTCTGGGTTAAGTAAAAGTTAGCTCTTTCCTGATTGCCACATTAGTTCAAATTCAACAGGGTAGTGAACTTTGAAAAAAAAAAAAACGGCAATAAGACTTACCTTTGAATCTGTTATTATACCAATTTAGATCTAAATGGCAGGCTTTCATAATGTCTTCTTCAGTTACTGGTACAATTACTCATTATGTGCTTATCTTTCAGAAGTATATTTACTAATTTATTTATTTAAGCCATGATTGAAAAAAAGAAATCAAGATCCTAATTTTATTAGACCCTCTTCTTTTGATCTTATATATGACTTAGTACTCAGTGTTAGAGTCCTTGCTAGCTTTCCACTTCTGCCCTTTAGCTCTGGGAATGAAATTGTGTAAGCTTTTGAAGAGGAGCAGAAGAAGTTGCAAGATGGGATTAGTATCTCAATTATTGTCCAGTGGCTTACTCAAAATTCCCTTGTCCTTCAGTTCCAAATTCTTTGGCAGATTATTTACCTCCTGTTAAGAACAAATGTATCCTCTTTATATTGACAAATATTCTCCTCACCTCCTACCTCATGCATTCCCATGAGCTTCTCATCTTTAAGACTTTATCTTCTCCCAACCCCAACTCCATATTCAATGAAAAAGAAGGAAAATAAGACAGGCAGAATATCCCACGTGTGATCAATTGTAGTACAATCAGTGTATTTATTACTCCCATTTTGGGGACTTTGGAACACATTTGGTCACACCTACAAGAGACCCTTAAACATAACTTTTCTCCTTTATATTTTTTGTTCAGGTTCTGAAAAGACAGATGAATATCTACTGGCCAGGTTCAAAGGTGATGGTGTAAAATATAAGGCCAAGCTAATTGGTATTGATGATGTTCCAGATGCAAGAGGAGATAAAATGAGCCAAGACTCTATGATGAAACTTAAGGTAAAGGGAAAGATGATGGTTTGTTTGTATCTTAAGCAAGCATTCATGAGAAGAAATCTTATTTGAAATCTCTCTTACCTGTGTCTAGTTATTTAAGTTTTCTAACTGCATAATTTATCTAATGATGTATCTATCCTTTTGTATATGTATATGTGTCTATGTTGATTGATAGACAGACAGACAGATACATACACTAATAGAGAGTACTATTAGGGGTCAAACCCATGTCTCAGCCATTGAGCTATATCCCCAGCCCTCAGTGTCTCATCTTCTGAAACCCTGAGTTACTTTGTGCATTTATATAACTGTCCTAGAGACATGATTTAATCAAAGATAGCTGGACTCAAGATGCTTTTTCATTTGGTAGCCCTTGGACAAACCAGATCTCTCACTCCTCACTAAATAGTTATAAATATTGGTTTTTATCTGCTGTTTCTTCCTTTGCATGGGAAGAAATAAAATACTCTATTTTTTATGTAAAAAGTGTTCAAAAATTCAGAATTTTATCTGGAAACTAGTTTTCTTTTGAGTTAGCCCTTGAGTGTTTTGAATTTTTAAATTTCTTTACTATATTACTATGTGAACCTAATTAGTACTCAATAAACAATAGAAACTTCTTTAAAGATCTTCTAGTCCATGTTCCATAGACAGACAGACAGACAGACAGATAGATTTTTTTTTTTGCTCCCAGTACTTGGACTTGAACTCAGAGCTTGGGTGCTCTGAGTTCACTCAATGCTGGCACTTCACCACTTGAGTCATCCCTCCACTTGTAGCTTTATTCCTCCCCAGGCTAACTTTGAACAATGATCCTCAGATCTCAGCCTCCTAAGTAATCAGGATTATGGGCATGAGCCACCGATGCCCAGCCAGGTCCATTATACTTATTTACCAGTGACTCTTTTGAGGCCACAAGACTTGGGGTGATTTTTTTTTCAGGGTCACATTACTAAGAAAGAAATAACCTTCCCAGTATCTTCTATTCCATCCTGTCATTCTGATGACTGATCCTTTCTTTGATGACAAACAAACAGAAAATAAAGCCAGTAGTCTTTACAGTTTTTATAATTGGAATATGAAGGTGTCATAGAGTACTTTAAATGAGATTTTTTCCTTATTTCCCTAACCAGGGAATGGCAGCAGCTGGTCGGTCTCAGGGACAACACAAGCAAAGGATCTGGGTCAACATTTCTCTTTCTGGGATAAAAATAATTGATGAAAAAACTGGGGTAAGGATTTGCACTCACTGGCATCTTTCTGACCACTGGAGTCTGGCTACTTGAATTTCAGAATTTTCTTTCTTGAGGTTCTGTAAAATAATAATAATAATAAATAATGATAATAGTTGATATTTACTTTCCCAGTAGTAATAGACCAAAAGTAGAATAGAAGGTCGAGAGTCAAGACACACTGTTGACATGCTGTTTTGAAATTCACTTCCTGTAAGAGATACAGGCCCACAGGTAGCTATATCGATCCCAGAAATACAGATAGCAATACCTGCTTATGAATCTTCCATAGGTCTATGCATGGGGTCTTACTTTATTTGAATATATTGGTCACATGTGAATGTAGGAGCTATTTAGTGACATCTAGTTTTCTTTTTATTGTCAAGGATGTACAGATGGGTTACAGTTACATAAGTAAGGTAATAAGTACATTTCTTGTCAAACATGACATCTAGCTTTTATTTGGGGGGGGGGGGTTCAGTCATAGGGCCTGAACTCTGGGCCTGGGTGCTGTCCCTCAGCTCTTCAGCTCAAGGCGAGCGCTCTACCACTTGAGCCACAGTGCCACTTCCAGCTTTTTCTGCTTATGTGGTGCTGAGGAATCGAACCCAGAGCTTCATGCATGCAAGGCAAGCGCTCTACCACCGAGCCACCTTCCCAGCCCCAACATCTAGCTTTTTTAAAGAGCTTTTTTCCTTGCCTTTTCACCCTAAGAATGTCATCTTGTTTATGTTGTGGTTTCTATTGTTCTATCACATATGAATCATATACCTTCTTATTTTGCTGGATTGGTTTCTGATCCTTATCCATTGGTCAGGCCTTCTGGAATAGGTTTTTCTTCTACTCAACATAACATTGTGATATTTATCACTTAAAATCTTGCTTATAAAAACATGTTTTCATTATTGTGATATATTCTATTCTTAAAACAGTAGGATCACAAGTTTTAGGCCAACATGGTTTACACAGTAATATTCTGTCTCAAAACAATGAAAAAGTTTAGTTCTTGTCAAGAAAGTGTGTGAAGATCTTTGGTTGCTATTCATCCCTCCCTAGAGAGATCCATTCTCTGACTTGCAAGATCTACCAGCCAGTCTCAGAGCCAGGACATCCAGGGTACTCACTCACTCACTCTCCCCTCCGTAGGCATTGCTGTCTTCCTCATCACCCTCCAACTCCTAGTTTCCATGTTTCAGGCTCTCTGGAGAATAGTGGTGAGTTTTGCCTCACAAGCACGGGACTAAGACATTAAAGTTTTGTTGCCACAGGCAACTCCTAGGATTTTAATGAGATAGATCTTCTAAGACAGTAGAAAATCACTTGATGACAGCATTTGGTAAAAGGTGAAAGATTTATATGATCTGAAGAGAAACCAGAGTAGAGCATTTGGTAACTTCCAGAATGTACTAGACATTCCCCCCGCCCCCCACCCCACACACATACATCCCCACACACATACTATACACTGTCCGCTTTGGACAGTGATGGTGTCATCAGCCATCAACATAGGATCCTTCTGAACGCTTTTCTAGATAAATAAATAGAATGTTTACTTAACTTTGTCATAGAGTTAGGAAGGTTTATTCTTTTTTATTTTGCTTTTGGAACTTTTTGGTTTGTTTTATTTTGCTTTGAAACCTCATCTTGCTAGTTTGCCTGGGTGTCTGCTTTATTCTCCCAAGAAGCTGGGGTAACAAGTGTGCATCACTACACTTAAGCTAACTTGGGTTGGTTTAAGGATTAGATGCTCTCCTTGTTGTATACATTCTCAAATCTTCTTTGCATGGGACATTAAAATCTCGGACTAGATAGTTCCTTTTAATTTTGTTTTCTTCCTTTGAAACGGAAGGCTTTTTTTTTTTCCTAACCTCCTTCCTTTTTGGAAACTTTTCTAGTAAGAGTAGCTTGGCCTTCAACCACCTACTAAAATGTCTTTATTTAAATGTTTTAACTTCTTAGTATGCCTTCATATGTGAATCTGATGCCTAACTATGCCAGCATACAAACAGAGTCCATTCTTCTCAGTAAGTCATTTTTACGTTCCTTTTAAAGGTAATAGAGCATGAACATCCAGTAAATAAGATTTCTTTCATTGCCCGGGATGTGACAGACAACCGGGCGTTTGGATACGTGTGTGGAGGAGAAGGACAACACCAGTTTTTTGCCATAAAAACAGGGCAACAGGTAAGCTCTAAATCGGAGGTATGGACATATGGAGATTGATCCTTTAGTGAGTGCAGGAATGTGTGTCACTCACCTAGAAAATTTGTTGGAAGCAATTCCTTAGACTAATAAAATTTGCATGAGCAAATAATAATTCAGAGAATGGCTAACAGCCTAAAAAGACTTTTAAAGGTGTCCCTTACACACATGAATGTAGCTCAAGAATTTTGAGAATTGAGTGTCTTCTAAGATTCATGCTGAATTTAGGAGAATCGTGAAGTATTTCCAGAAACCTTGAAAGAACTGCAAAAATAGTCATGTTTTGTTTAAATATCTGGAAAATCCACTTGTGATATCCATTTTCCTGAACATTTAGATTCCATTTATCAGCACTGCTATTCTTTATGCATCAGAAGGTGAAGATGGGGGAGATGAGGTCCACACTAGGTGAAGATAGGAGGAACCTTAAGAGAAAACAGAAACCACTCCTGAGAATGGATGGGAGACAAAGGAAGAAAATATCAAGGATAAAACATTATTAGTAATGCTTTCTCTTACTTCAGGCTGAGCCATTAGTTGTTGATCTGAAAGACCTTTTCCAAGTTATCTATAATGTAAAGAAGAAGGAGGAAGAAAAGAAAAAGGTAAGTACTACTTGATATAAACTTTATTAAACATTGTATCCAGGACTATTTTTGATGTTGTGCCTACATATGCTCTGCCTAGAGAGTTGAATTGTATAGCATTCGTCTAAGTATATAATTATTTGTTCTAATAATTTTTCTTTTGGAAATCTAATAGGGAAACCAATGCATGGTAGACACTTCAGATCTCTGGGCCCTGGCTCTAATCTTTTCTCCCTATAAGCTATATATTAATTTAGGACTAACTTGTAGATCGACCTTGTTTAAATCTAGAAATTCTTCACAAATCCAGGATTTATAAGAAAAAAAATACAAGAGTCGTCTTACCTTATGCCTGAAAACCTATAGACATATGTTTATCTTTCTTTTTTAGGCTGAAGAAGCCAACAAAGCATTGGAGGTAAAACCCCATCTTTACTTCCTACAAATTGTGTGTGATGTGTATAAACCCTTGCTTGCTACCTGCCCACACTTCCCCACACCAGCTGATTACTGTTTATAATATCTCTAGTCATGAAAAGTTAAATAATGAATGCAAATATCATAACTACTTCGTAGGCTGACATGGAAGAAAAACAAATACTGAAATGTTCGCCGTCTTTTTTTTTTTTTTGTCAGAATGGAAGCGAGCCCCTAATGACTGTTGATGATCAAACCAACAAACTGAAATTGGTATGTGTGTGTGTGTGTGTGTGTGTGTGTGTGTGTTTGTGTGCATGTGTATGCTGGTACTAAAAAGCTTGAACTCAGAGCCTTACACTGTGGCTTAGCTTTTGTGTTCATAGCTGACAACCTACACTTGAGCTACATCTCCAGTTCTAGCTTTTTTGATGATCAGTGGGAGCTAAGAGTTTTTTGGGTTTATCTGCCTGGACTGGCTCTGAACCAATATTCTCTAATCTCAGCCACCTGTGTAGCTAGGATTATAGGCATGAGCCACCAGCACCTAGCTTATATGAGAAGTTTTATGTTTCTTACTCACTTAACTTGGATTCTCATATAGATGTAGCTAATAACATATGTGTTCTGAATCCATATGAAAATCCAATCATGGCAGCTCTATGTATGTATACAAAAGAATCTTTTAAGTAGATTATCTGAACCAGGTGTATTTGTCTGGGAACATGTATACACTTCATGATGTCTCAATATCAAATTTGAATGAGTTGAATGCAAGGCCAGTCTTGACAACTATTTTCCTTAGTTTAGGACAACAACAATATACAAAGTAATCCTTTTTTTTTGGTAGACACATCTGAATCTAATCCAAATACTTTTTTAAGGGTGTTGACCAGATGGATTTGTTTGGGGACATGTCTACACCTCCTGACCTAAATAGTCCAACAGTAAGTGTTTGTTTTTAAATTTGCAATGTAATGGCAATGACATCTCTAATTCAAACTGAAAATTAACCACAAATCTTGAGCATCGCATTGGAAATTGGAAGATGGATTGCTGATTTTTCCACATAAAATGTAAATGACTGCTAGAACACATTTGAATTTTAAATCGCCATAGAAACTCATCAGAACTCATTCAGAAACAATAATAGTGCTTAGAAGTTAAATCTGAGCAATGGATCAGGCAATGTAGTCTTTCTTGGTGCTATTTCAGTTTGGAAGAAGCAGCTGAGCAAAAATCCTTGGCATAGCCTATTAGAAGGAAATATGATTAATCATGAAGCTTTCTGGCCTCTTTAATTTTTTCATTCTTTCTTAATGACATTTAGTGTCATATGTCTTAGTGACATTTAATGTCATAAAGTATGACTTACATAAGAAGCTCATTTACATTCAACTGAAGCCTGTCCTTGTTAGAAAATGATTAATATTTGATAACACATTATAATATGTCAGATCTTCTCAATATTGTAGATCAACTGTGTGAGAATAGCACACTATTTTCTTTTATAGACCAGAAAGTGTTGATTCAGACAAAAATCCCTCATTTACTTGAGAACAAAGTCCAGATTCAAGACTTATACCTTACTCTCCAGACCTACTAAAACTGCCTTCAAATGAGAATATTCACATAATTTTGAATGACTTCTAGAAACATACACTTACCAGTGTTTTGAGTACTTTTTATTGGCAAAGCATAGCAGTAATCAGGATGCATGACATATTGTGGTCAAGGAATTTACTATTTAGCAGAAATCAGTGTTAGAACTAATCACAAAACTTATTAATTGATGTCAGTTACAGGGTATGATCTAGTCTGCAGGTTCAGATGATGCCCAAAGAAGAGACTTTATAGACTTGAACATGAAGGGCAAGAAAGTGATCACTGGGCAAACAGATAATTACTCTAGAAAATACCTCGCTGAGGGTAAATACCAAGGAAAATGACCCAGAAAGTCACAGGATTCATGCAGCTGGTTGAAGTTGGAGGAAGAGTCTCACTTTCCAGAGTCCTGCACAGAAAGCCAGGGCTGTGAAACCCCATTGCATAAACTCCTAGGTCAGCTGAGGAGGGGCAAGGGCTGTACACAGTTCTTTCTGCCTCACCATGTGAGAATCACACTGCATGGTGCCTGTCACAGAGAAGCTGTTTCAGCATTGAATCCTGACTTACTGTTGAAATGTCCATTCTTCAGAATGTCTGTTACTTCTTTCTTTTCTTTATTTCTTTTACTTCTTTCCTTCCTTCCTTCCTGCCTTCCGTCCATCCGTCCGTCCATCTGTCTTTCCTTCCTTCCTTCCTTCTTTCTTTCCTTCCTTCTTTCCTTCCTTCCTTCCTTCCTTCCTTCCTTCCTTCCTTCCTTCCTTCCTTCCTTCCTGCCTTCCTGCCTTCCTTCCTGCCTTCCCTCCCTCCCTCCCTCCTTCTTTTCTCTTTGAAGTACTACAGTTTGAACTTTGGACCTTATGTTTGTTGGGCAGACATTCTTAACTTCTGAGTCTCCAGCCTTTGGATTAACCTGTTGAAATGCTAGATTAAATGGATATGAAAGAGCCATCCTAGTTTTAGGATCCTTTTGATTTTCAAACTTTGCCCTCTCCTGCATTAGCAGCCACCTCCCCAAGGGAAATCAATACCTGAATAATGTACCTCCCAAGTATAGAGAGAGGACACTCACTGAAGACATGAAATGAATTACAAGGACAAGGCATGGAAGAGCTGACCGGTTAACCTGCTTGTGAAGATTTCCAGAATATTCTGCAAAAGGAAATGAAAGGCAGTGTGAATGATCCTCCTATAAATGTCTTTGATTGATGTCTTTTAGCCTAAGAATTTTTGATTTGTAGAAATTCAAAGTAGATAGTATTTGATAAGTAGGAGAAAACTTAACAGGGATAGTTATGCACTGGTTAGGCTCTGGCAATGTGTTCTTACATATTGACTCCATATTCATAAGTCATAAAATAGATTTCTCTCCATGTGACAAAACCAATATGGTTAAAAATACTCAGTTCTTCCAGTAATTGCTCTAGAAGATGTTTCTGAATTGAAAAAGTCATCAAAATTATCTATATTTTTGAGTGTTATTAGTTTGTTACACTAGCCTTTTGTGCATTTCAAATAATACTTATGTTGTAAACTTAAGTGACATCCTACAGACTTAGAATATACTTTATCTTCTGGAAATCTACTTGAGCACTGTGATTTCCCATTGTTTCAGAACGAAAGAGAGGAGGGAAGAGCATGCTCTTGATGTTTAAATATTTGACAGTTTGAAATCACTGCTCATGTGAGAAGTATATAAGGCATGATCCACTATTAAGGAAATTACATCTGGTCCAAGGGATAGAATCAGAGAGCCAAGTTCAGCCATATGAATACACTTGTATGCACCCCCTAAGAGACAAGTACATAAAACTGAACTAGAAAAATTAATAGGAAAAGTTTTTGTAAGGAACCTGAATTTGAGTTGCACCTTTGAAGTGTATAGGGAAATAGATTGTAGCCAGCATCAAATTGGATGCTAATGGCAGCTGGCCTAGTGAAGTTTATATTAAAACATGTGAGAAGTAGCAGGAAGGCTTTGAGTAGAGAAGTCGTCAGTTTGGCTGAAATGGTTACAGGAGGTTGGCTGACCCAAAGAAGAGCTACAGAACTGAGTAAAGCCTTTGCACAGACACCTCTCCAATTGGCTTTATATTCCCTTTCCCATAGCAGAAAGAAAGAAAGAGAGAGAAAGAGAAAAAGAAAGGAAAGAGAGAGAGAGAGAAAGAAAGAAAGAGAAAGAAAGAAAGAACGAACAAGGCCTGTAATTCAGTTTCATGTCTTAAGGGCCTGTTTCTTGAATGGTGGCTAAGTGGATAGTGTTGGCAGTCAAGGAAAGAAGCTATAAAGTTCTGATCAAGGTGATGAAGGTGTGGATGAGGAGTCTCACCTGTCACGGTCTATGATGTAGACTCTTGATCTTGGATTAACCACACCAACCTGAGGAGAGCCTTATACATTTTACTTATAGGGTGACTATTCAGAAGTCTAACAGTGTGGCTCCTGCTTGGTGTCCTAAGAACTTCTTTGGAAGTATTTGAAAAGGAGAACTCTACCAGCCATGAACACCATCTGTTCTAACCTAGAGGTGGCACAGAACAAATGAATGAATGCTGAAATCACAAGCTTTTATAATTCACTGCCCTGTGTCTTGATTACTTAAACATCTCTTTATTGATAGGTTATTCAATCTGTTTTGTTGATTAAATTATTTTCTAAATTACAAATTCTTTTGACTGGCTTCTAGTTCTAAAGAGGAAATCTGGCTTATGCCTTTATGATTCAAAGTAAGGAAAGAGAAAAGATTTTAAGTCTGATTTTGTTGTCTCTTCTATGGATATAAAATAGGATCTGAACTTTTTTTGTTTTTCAAAGTTGAACTTTTCTCTAAACAACAAGGAGCCCTATTGGAGATGTTTTGCACTTACTGGTTTGAAAGGTTAATATTCCTTTAAAGTTTTTTTTTCCCCATGATCAAATAATGCTAGACAACTTCCTTACTCCCCTTTAGCTGAGCAGTGTTTATTGTTAGTAACCTTCTATGACTAGCATAATTAAGAACTAATGAATCAGAGTCAGTCAGAAAGGTCTGTCAGTGTGATTCCTCCTATCCCAGGGAGAATAACAATTATATCACTAATTAAAATAAAGGAAGTGAGCCAGGTGCTGGTGGCTCACACCTATAAACTTAGCTATTCAGGAGGCTGAGATCTGAGGATTGCAGTTCAAAGCCAACCCCAGGCAAGAAAGTCTGTGAGACTCTTACCTCCAATTAACTACCAAAAAAAACAGAAGTGGCACTGTGGCTCAGGTGGTAGAGTACACACCTTGAGCTGAAGAGCTCAAGGACAGTGCCCAGGCCCAGAGTTCAAGCCCCACAACTGACAAAAAAAGAAAAAAGGATGTGTTAGGCTTATCAGGTTTGCTATTTTTATCCCGAAAAAAAAATAGATAATAATGAAGATAACAAATAATTAAAATCTAATCTTTTTCTGGTATGATAGGGAGAAAATAGAATTAAGTCTAGGGTATAGTTTCCAGATCGATTTTTTTTTTTCAATTCTTAGGTTTAACTTAGGATCCTGAGTTTTCTAGATAGGTGCTTTATTTACCACTGGAGCCTTTGTGCAATAGTTATATTTCAGCTAGAATCTTGCTTTTTTGTCTAGGCTCCCTTCAAACCATGATGCTCCCAATCTGTGTCTACAATATAGCTGGGATTACATGAGCCAGGAGTCATTGGGCCTGATAGATATTAATATTACATCTTAAACTCACGTCTCTTTGTTATATACAAATCAAAAGTAACAAATTCACTCCAGTGCTAAATAATTAAGATCACTGCCTGCAACACAGGCATCTGTAAGCCACGTCATGAAAGAGTATACAAGAGTTTGTGTGGCATCTGAATCACTTTCATAGGACAATATAGACAGAATATGGCCAAAGAAGAGATGGCACAGTTAGATGATTAGTACAACTTGGCTAATGCCTTCAACAACAGCCATAAACCTTTCAGGAGACCTGCTTGCTGGCTGTGATCAAAAAGTTAAAAAGCTTTCCTCCAGGGCTGGGAAGGTGGCTCAGTGGTAGAGTGCTTGCCTTGCATGCATGAGGCCCTGGGTTCGATTCCTCAGCACCACATAAGCAGAAAAAAATGGAAGTGGCGCTGTGACTCAAGTGGTACAGCGCTAGCCTTGAGTTGAAGAGTTGGGGGACAGCGCCCAGGCTCAGAGTTCAGTCCCCTGACCAACAAGAAAAAAAAAATCTTTCCTGCACACCCCATCCAGAGGATGGGGTCAATGATAGGGAAAAGTACTTGACAAAGATGCAGAGTGGTAGGATGCTTGTGTGGTATGTGTGAATCCCTGAGTTCAATTTTCAACACTGCAAATAAAACTATAAAATATGAAAAAATATGTAGCAATGAATTCACTCACTGAAGAAGGTGCTGCTAAGCGGCTAATAGGCATTCAATAGACGACTCAGTACACACGTCAGGTAAGACCAAGGTTGCCAAGTCACTTCACACATTCAAGTTCAAAGTATACTAAGAAACAGATCTTGAGTTGCAAACACAATCAATTCTCTTAAGACTGTCAAAGGCAAGAATTTAAAGGAGACTGATAATGCGCTGTGTGCAGGAACTCAGGTGAGCAGGGACCAGTAAGATTGTAATTAAAGAAGGGTTAACAACTCTGTGTGGAGGGAGGGAGAGAGGGGCAGGAGAACTAGTCCGGAGCCAGTAACCACTTTGAGGGAGCAGTGGATGAGAAGGGTTAACAGCCACCCAGCTTCTCAAGACCAAATCTAATGGGAATGTTGATAATCATGGTCATTTGTATGTGGTTTTCTCATTTGAAGTCATAACATGGACTAACACTTTCTTTCTTTTCTTTTTTTTTTTTCTTCCCAAATGTGCTAGGAAAGCAAAGATATCCTGTTAGTGGATCTAAACTCTGAAATCGACACCAATCAGAATTCTTTAAAAGAAAATCCATTCTTAACAAACGGCATCACCTCCTGCTCTCTTCCGCGACCAAAGCCTCAGGCAGCCTTCTTGCCTGAAAATGCCTTTTCTGCCAATCTCAACTTCTTTCCCACCCCTAATCCTGATCCTTTCCGTGACGATCCTTTTGCACAAGCAGACCAATCGACACCCTCTTCGTTTGATTCTCTCAAATCTCCAGAGCAGAAGAAAGAGAATTTGAATAGTTTGTCTACTCCCCTGGGTAATGGGCCCCTGAATGGTGATGTTGATTACTTTGGTCAACAATTTGACCAGATCTCTAACCGGACTGGCAAACAAGAATCTCAGGCTGGCCCATGGCCAAGCCAGCCAGCAGTGAGAACTCAAAATGGGGTATCTGAAAGAGAACAGAACGGCTTCCATACCAAATCTTCCCCGAACCCTTTTGTGGGAAGCCCCCTCAAAGGACTGTCCGTATCGAATGGCGTAAAGCAGGACTTGGAAAGCCCTGTCCAGTCCTCTCCACATGACTCCATAGCCATTATCCCACCTCCACAAAGTACCAAACCAGGAAGAGGCAGAAGGACTGCTAAGGTGAATTGTCTTCTCCACCTATCCATTAGCAGAGCGCATGCTCGGTACCAAAGGGTGGTGTGATGCAAGCTCTCTTCCCTGCTGCGCTTGTGGCTGTGAACTAGAGGGTGGAGGAGGCACATTGGTTCTCCAGGACTGCTTCCCCTTAATGGCTGTTCTTTCTGAGCTTTGCAGTAGCGTTTCTCACTGCCTTCTGTTTGCATGCCTTGTCACTTAATACTAAACACAAGTTGTTGTTGTTTTGTTTCATTTTTAATGCTGCTATGCTTCTATACTGCTGGTAAGTTTGATCGTCACGTTCTGGGAGGGGAGGGGAAGAGTTCTTGTGATTTCCCCCTTTCCCATCCCCACACTAACACCTGCCCTGCACATCTGTTGTATTCTATTAATGAATGCCAAGAGGCTGGTATAACATTCTCTAGCCTGTTTCATCTTTTAAATATTAATAACCCAGTTGTCTCCAAAGAAACTTTACTAAGATACTATGACCTCTCACCAGTGTCACCCAAAAGCAATTCAAAATGCAGTTTTTATACGTATGTATAGTTTTTTTTAAAAGAAATTCTTGTAGAAATATGCAGGTCTGTCTAACGATTTAAAGTGTATCTACCCTATGTGGAATGATCAAAATTCCTTAGAATACTAATGTATAGTGGTCCTTTCTTTTCCTGGCTTCAAGCTTTAAGCCAATAAGAAGACCAGACCAATAAAAATGTAAAAAGAACAAAAATAGGTTTTACGTTGCCAATTCCAAGGTGCTATCAAACACTGAGACCCAATAGTAGTTAACCCATTGAGGTGATTGGCATTTTTTATTTCCCCTTTGGTCTTTTGTTTTCTGTTGTTTTGATAATAGTAATTAACTTTAATAATAGAAAAAAATCCTTTTATGTGAATCCTAAGTTTGTGATAAAGAATAAGAGACAGATCAAAGCTTATGTCATTGTTGCTGAATGACTCTTCTCCCTCCCTTTCTGGCCCTATCCTGTCAGTCTTCAGCAAATGACTTGCTTGCATCAGACATCTTTGCTCCTCCTGCCCCCGAACCTTCAGCCCAGATGGCACCCACAGGACAGTCTGCAGCCCCACAGACCAACCCTCTGGATCTCTTCAAAACAAGTGTTCCTGCCCCAGTGGGGACCCTTGCAGGTCTAGGTAGGTTCCTCAAGGTACAGCTAGGAATGGCTCTGCTAGTTCACCAGGAAATGATGTGTTCAGGAAGGAGGCACTTCCTGTCCTCCATGGAAGTTCCCACGATTGCAAGACTGGAGATCCCAAGCATTTCTTTTGAAAACTTTTACTTCTGCGCCACCCCCATTTGAACTGTATTGTAACTGGAGTTTGGCTTCCGAGTTGCTACATGACCAGAAATCCTAGTTTGTTTTTTTAGTATTGGATATACCTGAAAAACTAGCCGTGGCTTCCTGTCCTGGGGGTTGTTAGGAATTCTGAACTCAGACTAGTTTCCCTGGCAAAACAGAGGTGAGATGGGAGAGTCTAATGCATTGTCTGTGTTGGAAAAGCAGTAACATTCATACTTTCTCTGTCATTTGCCATGATGATTGGAAAGCTACCTCTTCCCAATGCCTACATCCCCTTTTGAAGCATTATATGGGTATGGTTTAAGTTGAAGTTGGAAGGAAAACCAAGTTAAGGGAAGTGATGGAATTTAATCAGATGTCCAAGATGTACATGGCTTCTGGTTGATAAGTGTGTCTCTGGCTCATGCGGGCCCCAGAGCATCCTCCTGCAGGCGAATGGTGAAGGGGCTTTGTCTGAGGGCTTGTGCTGCTACTCAGTCCCCAGCTTCCAGTTCTTTTCACATTTCTCTGGTACAGTTTTCAGAAATCTCAAAAAATAGCCTTTGGTGTCTTGCTGGGCACTGTCTTTGTTTTTATGTTTCTTGGCATATCTGCAAACTCAGAATCTGGCTTGGGAGGTGGGGGACAAGAGATGAAGATGGACTCTTTCTCCCTTAGTAAATTTGACTAGGGATCTTGGCTTTCTCTGCCTCCTATAGAGATAGTCATCGAAATCTGTGTGTGTGTGTCTGAGTGTCTGTGTGTGTGTGTGTGTCTATGTGTCTGTGTGTCTGTGTCTGTGTGTGTGTGTCTATGTGTCTGTGTGTTATTTTCCTGCAATGTCACACTGAATCGGTTTAATCATCTTAGAAGTAGGGGAACAAAAGAAGGAGGTGTTCATTTCCTAACTGCTGAGTGGCTAAAATCCAGGTGAATGTGTGAAGCCCATGTGTTCCGAGCATCTCCTGGGCATTTACCATCAAGAGACTTTCCTTCAATACTTCGTGTGTCTGTGGGCTTCTACTTTCTCATTGCTCTTTTTTCTGTACCTCCCCATGAGAGAGATGTCCTCCTCTCACAGAAAAAGGTAGAGAACTCACATGCAGTGTGTCAGGGACTGGATTACATCACAGACCTTTGTAGTCTAATATCAATGCCCTGAAGAATTTTTACAGCCAATATTTAACAAGTGAGCTTGAAAATACAGCTGGACCCTATAACTGTTAATTTATTCAGACTAAGTGAAGCTTGTTGGCTAGGCGCCCCTGTTGCGGCCTTGGGGTATACAACGGCAGAATACTGATGATCTTTCCAAGTTTGGACATGGAACTCAAACTGAGCCCCACAGTATAGCCCCTGTCCACTAGCAGGGATCCTCAGCCAACCATGGAAGGTTGTAGGTCTGGCTTCCGCTAGACCCAGCTGGGAGACTGTCTCCTTTGCAAATCTTGGGGGGTGGGGAGTGGGTATGAGAGAAAGCTGAGCCCTCAGCTTTGACTTGTTACCCTGTGTTTTGATCTGGCTTCAGAAGGTAATAAAATTAATGCTTTATGCCACACTCCCCTTTTTCTTAATCCTTGCCCTGTTTTCTCCAGCTGGGTCATAAATGTCTTAGAAACACAATGGCTACAATCTGTTGGATGGCAATGAAGGCTAACTTTAAATACACACTGGGAAAGCCTTTAACTCCTGGAAGATATATTTGTCTTGCTCACAAATAATACTCTCATTGATATGATTGAAAACTAAAGGCATGCATTTTCCCAAGGAAGGGCAAGTAGTCCAACATGAAAGACAATAAAATTCTTTTTGTTGTTGTTGTTCTGAAATTGGGGCTTCAACTTAGGGCTTGGGTGCTGTCCTTCAGTTTTTCCACTCAAGCCTAGTGATAATGTATGTGACCCACAGCTCCATTTCTAGCTTTTTTATGGTTAATTGGAAATAAGAGTTTCATGGGTTTTCCTGCCTGGGCTGGCTTTGAACCACAATCCTCTGATCTCAGCCTCCTGGGTAGCTAAGATTACAGACATGAGCCACTAACACCTAGCCTTTTATTCTATTCTATTCTATTATTTTGCTCATCTAATTGGTAAAGATCATTAGTGAGTAACCCTCCATTCAGTTAATAAATTTTAAATAAACTGCAAAAAGAGTATTAGCAATAACTTTGTTTAAACTCACTTTTAGGACCTGTATATGTAATGTAAGAGAAGTAGTCTTCTGGAAGTCTATATATTTTCTTGAATGTAAATGAAGACTAACTTCTGACTGTGAAATCAGTATCGAATTAAGATACTATTAAAAAGACCAATCCTATGCCTTGTTTAGTCATAATGGGCCAGAATAGGAAGGAGTTTACTGGGTTTGGAGTTTCTGGTAGCATTATTAAGACATTCTCACCTTTAATTATATTCTTTACTGATTTAGTTTACCATGAAAACAAGCATACTGATGAAGGAAGGTAACCTTTTCTAAAATCTGCCACTCTCTGTGAATGTGATAGATACATTCCTGGCCAGATGAACAGAAGAGTCAAGTACTACATAAATCCAAGACAGGACATCTGCTCAACCACCCAACTTCCATTTGCAAAATATTTTTCATTCTAGAAGCAAAAGCAATTCCCAAGCCTAGCTTGAAGGCCTAGTCTTTATTAGATTAGAAAACGCTTTTTAAACTTACTATGCTTATTATCTTTAAGTAGTTATACAAAGGAGTTTGTTTTAATTCAACATGTCACTTAGAAAAATCTTAGCAAAAGCCGGGCGCAGGTGGCTCACACCTGTAATCTTAGTTATTCAGGAGGCTGAGATCTGAGGATCACGGTTCAAAGCCAGCTGGGGCAGGAAACCCCTTGAGACTCTTATCTCTAATAAACTACTAGAAAACTGGAAGTGGTGCTGTGGCCCAAGTGGTAGAGCGCTCACCTTGAGCTGAAGAGCGCAAGGACAGCGCCCAAGCCCAGAGTTCAAGCCCCACGACCAACCAAAAAAAGAAAAGAAAGAAAATTTACCAAAAGAATGTTGTGCTCCCAACCTCAAAGCAAGTAGGTTTTCAGGGCAGAACGTCAGTACCACAAATAAATAGGAAACTGAATTTAGGTTTATTTTGTTAGTGGTGACAGTTTAACTGGCTCAGTAATACACTTGGGAAGAGACAGGAAAGAAAATGTCCTCTATATTAGAACGAGATCCGGGAACAAGTCTCTCCAGAGAAAGGGTCAGCTAGAGAGATTTGGATTTTTTAATTCCAAATGAACATGGCAATGATGTTGGCAATTCAGCCATTCACCCAGAGAGATCACGTGCAAGTTACCAGAGAAGGATATTGTTTCTCCTTGTCTTCTCTCTCCTCCTTTCTCATTTCAATATTCTGTTGTAACTACTGGCAAGGGTTTGTGAATGACACAGGCAGGAAGCACTTTTATATGAAACAGCTCTCCCAGCGTAACAGCCTTTCCTCCGTTTTTATTTATAAAGGTCTAAAACTATCTTGGCACCGGCTAAATTTTATCTTCTCTTTATATAGCTGTGTCAACTTTGGCAGCGTTAGAAAGCAAGAAAACTTTGAAATAGCTTCTTTGGGATAGAAGCAAGTTGAGGCTTCATGCACATGCATACTAGCTGTTTTCCATAAGCCTCTTGACAGAAGCCAGCTGCTAAATGAAAAGATCAAATCAATGAGTCAAAAAGCCAAATGGATTATCTTACAGAACTACTTAGTAGTCAGTGTGGTTTGAATATACAAATAGGTTCACCCAACAAATCTCTTTTCTGATATTGTCAGGCTATTCTAGTTATTTGAAACACATCAGTAAATATGTGTTTGTGTGTGTGTTTGTGTGTGTGTGTGTTGTGCATGTGTGTCTGTTTGCATTAAGAGCTCATCCCCCCCCACCCCCATGACCTATATTAGGGATTGTATGCCCTTCCAACGATGAAAGTCAAAAGATGTGGTAAGAAGAATGGGAGTGCCGGGCACTGGTGGCTCACGCCTGTAATCCTAGCTACTCAGGAGGCTGAGATCTGAGGATCGCGGTTCAAAGCCAGCCTGGGCAGGAGAGACTGTGAGACTCCTATCTCCAATAAACCACCAGAAAACCGGAAGTGGCGCTGTAGCTCAAGTGGTAGAGCCCTCGCCTTGAGCTGAAGAGCTGAGGGACAGCGCCCAGGCCCAGAGTTCAAGCCCCATGACCGACAAAAAAAAAAAAAAAAGAACGGGAGTTTTGAAATACAAATAGTATTTGAATGCTAGATGTACTGTTTAATACAACTAGTATTTGAATGCTAGCTGTACTGTTTGAACTAACTAACCTATATGGATCAGAGTATGATAGATGCATCTGTGAAATGCCATTCTTTTGTGCAATTGATATATGCTAATTAATCAAGCAAATTTGTTGTCTCCTGACAAGCACTGTCTCCCTCCTTCAGCTGGTGTGCCAGTTACACCCCCTCAAGCTGGACCTTGGAATACGCCTGTGGTCTTCAGTCAGCCCACTACAACGGTCCCTGGAGCTATGCTGGGTGCTCAACCATCAGGTTTTGGTCAACCGATAGTTTTTGGTACAAATCAAGCTCTTCAAGGCTGGAGCCAGCCTTCATCTTTTGTAGCCTCAACTAATCCAGCCCCTGTCATTTGGGGCTCTTCTCCATCTGTGGCACCCAATGCCTGGTCATCCACAAGCCCTTTGGGGAATCCTTTTCAGAGCAATATTTTCCCCCCTGCTTCCATGTCCACTCAGCCATCTTCTATGCTGTCCGCTCTGGCTACTCCCCCTCAGCCCCCTCCCAGAACTGGTCCTCCAAAAGACATCCCCAGCGACGCCTTCACTGCCTTAGACCCGCTCGGGGATACAGAAGTCAAAGAGGTGAAAGAAATGTTTAAGGACTTTCAACTGCGGCAACCACCCATCGTACCTGCAAGGAAAGGAGAGCAGCCTCCCGCAGGGACATCGAGTGCCTTCTCCAGTTATTTCAACAGTAAAGTTGGCATCCCTCAGGAGAACGCAGACCATGATGATTTTGATGCCAATCAACTGTTGAGCAAGATCAATGGTAAGCAACTCACTATTCTGTACGGTACTGTGCCAACAAATATTTCCACTGTCATACTGCCAGAAAGCCCTCCGAAGAACTCTCTTCCAACCACTTTGCTGCTTTTTGGTATTTAGGCTTAGGGGCAACTTAACCATTCGCTGTTTGGAGTCAACCTTTCGTTTTTGTTGTTGTTTTAATCATAGCTAATTCTTAGAGCTAGCCCCTTGCTGCCCTCTAGTGTCCCCTCTTGAAAGGGCCTCCCAGAGCTATTGGAATGTTAGGATTCAGGAATCCTAGATATTAGCCTTCACTATATTCTATGTCCTTAAACGAGGGAATTCTGAATATACAAGCTTCCTGTTCTGAGAAGGAAGGAGAGGGAGAGGGGGGAGCATGTCCCTGTAGTAATCACTGGGAACCCTTGTAGGTGGCAATGGTGATTTTTATTCTACTAATACAATTTCAGAAGTATGATACCGTGTTTGTTTAAAACATAAGCTGACTAGAAGACAACTTGTGCTATTCTGAGGGGGGAAATTGTCTCCTCATGGCTTGGTTTTGTCATCTTCTAGAACCACCAAAGCCAACTCCCAGACAAAGTGCCCTGCCAGTTACCAAATCTGCTGAGAACGCATTCGAGAACCCTTTCTCTAAAGGCCCCTTCAGCTCATCTCAACCCTCAGTAAGTAAAAATCCAGAATCCAGTACCCCAGCATGTTTGCTGACGGAACTACTTCCTGAATTCACCTCACACGGATAAATAGCTTTTTATTTATGGAGTCTATTTGAGATGGACCCTTGATTACAGTCACTGTTCCCATTCATGTATAATCTGAGAAGTAATAGTATAGAAGATATCCATTATAAAGCCAGGTGCTGATGGCTCACACCTGTAATCCTAGCTACTCAGGAGGCTGAGATCTGAGGATCGAGGTTCAAAGCCAGCTGGGGTAGGAAAAGTCCGTGACACTCTTATCTCCAATTAACCACTCAGAAAAAAAAAAAACGGAAGTAGTGCTGTGGCTCAAGTGATAGAGTGCTAGCCTTAAGAGCTGAGGGACAGCGCTCAGGCCCAGAGTTAAGGCCCCAGGACCAAAAACAACAACAACAAAAAAAAACACTTAAAGGCTTCTGTTCTTAATTTCCCACTTCTGATCGTATATGTCATCAAAACAATTTTCCTTGCCTTACTTTCAATTTTGAGTAAAAAACATACATGAGTCACGTTAGAATGATACAAATGCCTGCATAGTGATTGTTTGTTTGTGAATGTGTGTGTTTTTAAAGGAATGTGGGGTCTTGATTTAAAGGTGTTTTTTGACTGTTTATGTTGACTGGATGATTTTATGTTCTTAGATGGCTTCTCCTCAACCTGCATCTTCTGATGTGTGTAGGGACCGTTTTGGAAATCCTTTTGCCTTCTGTAAGTAAAAGAGTCTACTGAGCCCCACCATCAGAAAGGAGGTCACAAGGGGAGAGGGTGAGGTCCTAGTTTTTAAATTGGGAAAAGGTTAAATATCTGTAATTTTGGAGTAACCAATGTGGAACTGTATACTTACCTAATTCAATAATGACTAAATTGGGTATTTAAGGAAAGAATTCTTAAGTACATCAAAAAAAAAAAAAGTAATGTAGTCAGCAGATAACCTGAAACTAGACAAAAGCAAATCCTATATACACTGTTTTGTTCTTATATATACTTACATATATACATGCTTATAACCATTGAATTGATAATATGGACACATAACAACAGTGACGTTTTAAATTAATACATTGAATGAGGAGCACTCTGGGGGAAGAAAATAGCTAATATTAATGAGCCTTTGTGTTTATCCCTTTATTAAATGCTCTGATTCATTATCTATTCAATCTTCAGCCCTAGGGGATACATTTACAATAGTGACTTGATATTTAACACATTCTTACTATTCCAGAAGTCTAACCATGTGTGGTTGTTTTTTTCTCCTCTTCCATATTTCTCTAGGAACTTGGAATGCAGATGAGCCTGAGGAACACAAAGATTGGCCTTAAGTGCCAAGGACAAAGCTAATAGCCAGACCTGTCCTGACCTCTGGACTTGTCCAGCTTTGACATATTATCCATTGCCTTATTTCTTGTTGCCTCTTCCACTTTTAAAATGCCTTTCACTTTCTGTGTAAGCTAAAGCTAAATTGAAACGATGGCTTTACCTAAATTAAAATCTTAACTCTCTAGCTTCTATGTAAATGAAGTAGCTTCCTTACAGAACTTCACCTATTACATTCCTAGAACCTTCCAGAACACTCTACCTTTGATCTCTGGTTGGAGATGGAGCAAACACAAGCCCTCATACCATTCTATCTTGAATAAATGCCCACATCCTTTCCAAACAAAATCATTTTAAAGCAAAACCTAAAGATTCTGATATAGCAAGGTGCCATCTTTAAACATACCTTCTTTCAGTCTCTTATAGAGAGTTTTAAAAATAAAAATGGAGGCAAGTCTAGCTTCTCCTTAGACACTTTAGAATCTAATACATCTGATGACCTTTACATATGTTATTTCTCCTCTCTCTGAAGATTAATCTCTCCCAAAGCCAAGGCTATTTTCTAATCTGCTAATTATATTGCAGAAGAGGGAAAGAAAGCATTGTTCATTTCTCTTCATCTTTCCCTCTGAATCTTTTTGCCCATCTATTTCATTCTTGGTTCATATAGCATCACCTACCTTTCATAAGGATATTTGTGGGGGCAAAAAAAAAAAAGTCAAAGGACTCACAGATCCAGAGCCTCCTTTCTATCTCATTACTAGTCCAAGAGCTAGAATGGCAAATAGGCACAACCTGTACCCTACCCCCTACCACGGAGCAGGAGACTATACTCTTTGAGCTGAAGTTCCAGATGAGCAGCTAATATGGAGAAGAACTTGAACTCAACTCAGCAATGAAGGATCATATTCTGAAGAGCAACACAACAAACACATCATGAGCCTAAATATGACTGTGCCAAATACATCGGATCCTTACTGGGAGTCAGACTAGGCCTTTATAAAATAACTAGAAAACTTGCTTGAAGTCCCAATCTCATAGCTAGTATGAAGAAGACAGACAGGAAATGAACAGGCGACTTAGGGTTATTATTGAAAATCTAAATATCTGCAATATTTTTCCCTTTGTAACTTTGGAAATGTTCCCAGTTCATTTTCACTTATATTGCTAGCACAGTTGTGAAGGGTTCGTTCTTTCCAAAATGAGTTTTGTTTTGTTAATGTTGGGGTTTTTTTAATGTTATCTCTTAATGCTCAGGTTTTTTTTCTTGTGGGTGTTGATCGACCCCATCCAATGCCACCTTTTGGTCGAAGAAGAGAACGACTGCTCAGGATTTAAACAAGAAGGTGGACTTGTGAACCTCTATTGATTCACCCCTAAGTAGTCCAAGCTGAAGTCCTGTGGTTTTATGTTTGATTGTAGTACTTGATTATTATGGCATAATTTTCTGGCTGGCTTCCTACTCAGTCCATTAGAAACACAGACTTGAAATAGTCCTTTATAAGTCCAAATACTTAAAAGTACTAAACTGGAGGTAACTATTTCTAGGTAGTTGAACTTTTTTGAAAGTGATGATCAGCCACACAACTGTTTTGTACATACTTATTTTCTTGTGCACTTTTCTGTATGCAAAGAAAGCTATAAATTTACTCGTTTCAATAAACTGGAATGGCATACTTTCATGTGGTTGCTATCAGCTTACTCTGACATTCAACAAAGCCAACTGTTCTACCCATACAGTAGGTACTCAGCAACATTTATCTGACAGATCAAAATAACTTATTTGAGTATCAGACTCAAAGAGTTCATTAACAGAACATTATTCTAATGACACCTGGCCAAATGAGAATTATTATTTTGCTGATGCTGGATAGATGGGCTAAGTGACTTGAGCAAGTGATTCCTCAATTATCTGATGAATATTTGCCATACATTCTCCTGTACTGGGATATGATAGATTAAAATGTATGTATATGTCTAACTAAGTTATAATTCATAATACCCATGACTAGACAATTGGGGCGGTGTTAGTTATAATATGTTCTAGATAGAAAGATGAAGAGAATGAAGAAATACATGAAGTAAGATGATCAGCAAATTACCATACAATTGCTATTCTCTCTCAAATCCACACAGGCCTTTCTTGGAAATTCAGTGGAATCCATGGATAAGAGCTCCTTCAGAGTCCTCTCAATGTCTGAAAACCAGTCATAAGTGCACTACTGGTCCCTATCTTTTACCTTCTGTTTTCCCCTGCTCACTCACGTTTGACCTTTAAGGGACTGATCTAGGCTATGGCCTGCCACTCAGAAAGGCTACAGTGTCAGGAAGGAAGGTCAGTGATCACAGGTATTTCAAATTAGTACACTCAGACATCCTTGACTGTTACAACAGTTCAAGGTTGTGAGGCATTTCAGGAAAATGAAGAAGGCTGGAGGGTGGTGGTAAAGCTCCTCCCTAGTGTACACAAGGCCCTTGGTTCAATTCCCAGCACTGCAAAAAAGACACAACAACAAAACCTTCAGACCTCTAAGCAGAACAATCCAGGGCAGGCTTTGTTTTTACTCTGGGGAGTAAGATGTTTGTTGGGGGAGACGGGGAGTCATCTTTCAGTACATATTTTGATGCCATATTTAACATTACTGCCTTCTTCGCATTAACTAAAAGGGTTGGCCTCTTTCTGACAACAGTGAAGCAAAACACAGAAAAATAGACTACACAAAGTAGCTTCCTGGAGAGATGGAAGTGATCCCAGCTGAGGAGGAGCTCAAGAAAGCTTCTGATGAGAATATGTTGTAGACATTATTGGGCTTATGCAAGTGCTATATGCCTGTGCGTTATTTCCATGTAGATAATCCTGGAGACCTTGCTGGCAAATGGCTCTTGCTCATGCACCCAAAGACAGTTGTTTTTTTTTTTCAGTGAACTAGAAACTGCTTTTGGCCAATCATTGGGAGATGCACTGAAATGCCCTGCAAAATGAAAACAGACTTAGTAGCAGTGGTATTCAGACCCGAGTGCTAGAAGTTCAATGTCATGTGGGAGCCTTAGCATCCTGGAAAGGGGTATTAATTTAGCTGTTAAAATGTCTAAGCTAAAAGCCAAACTGTTGCCACCAATGTACCCCCAAAATATCTCACACAAAGGCAATGTAAAGGGAGAAGGTGTTGACTCTCTTAAGATAATCCTGCGTTTATTCAACATACTTCCTTCTATGGATGCCCTAATTTTGTGATGTGGAGCCAGTGCTGTTAGAACTCATGCTGAATTTCTCTCTGAGCCTAAAGGCAGTTGCAATGTATTCCAATTGCCCAGGGAGCGTTTTCTCTGTGTTATACTGTGGAGCTCTTTTTAGCCAGCAATTGCTGACTCCTCCATCAAGCCAAACACAAGGTGAGTCTGTGTCTTTTCTGTGCTGACAACGAGGGGAAAATACAGAGCCTGTGGCTAACTCAGGAGTTTGGTTGACCCTGGAATAACCTGATGAGTGAGAACTCTGACCCATATGTCTGGAACAGGTTTAATGCAAAGCCTTCCAGTGAAAGATAAGCGCTGCTCAAAAGTCCCTAGTAAATATTTAAGCTATTCCCGTTGGAAGAGATTGCTAAATAATAACGCTTGCTGGGAAATGGCATGTTTTGAACTAATTCTCTTCTTCTAAAAATAACTATAACTCATGTTCTAAGTTATTCTGCCAAACATGGATGTGAGCAAGGCTCTACCAAGAGCAGCTCTGTTAACATGTCCTAATTACAGTCATATTGCTGGGCCAAGGCCAACCATTTGTCATCTCACCTAATGAGTGGCCCGGCCCCTCATTTGCCCTTGCTTTGCTGGAATTGCATGCTTAATTACTAAACCTTTACAATATACTGAGCTCACACACGTGGTAGTCTCTAGAGAGAACGGTAGTTTAGTGACCAAAGAAGGTTGTTACATTTTTAAAAAGAAGAAGAAATTCAACATTGAAAGTCGTCACCATTATTCCTCCATCCTGAAATGGGTTGTATAGTTTTCTATCCAGTATTTTTTTCCATTTGATTGACTTCAATCATTATCATGTCATCTTGGAAAAAAAAAAAAAGAAGGACTTAGAATCAGTGTTGTTGTAAAGATTCGAGGGTGACCTTGACTAGGCCAGAGCTGAGTCACAGATATTCTGGATTGTCTGAAGCTGTCTCTTTCTGGAACTTTCTTATAATGATTGATCATAATGAAAGTTGGGAATAACTGAAATGAAAGTATTGGACACAGGAACTAACAGAGAGAGGGAGAGGAAGAGAATGGAAGGATGGACATGCCATTTGCATCTTGCTTCCATCCCTGGCCTAGCAGATTGATTTGGGACCTTGACAGTAGGAAATGATAGGCCTGGAAGCTACAGGCTGTCTTTTCTGGATAAAAGACCCTGGGCTCAAGTAGATAATTCTCAGCCCACGTCTTTACTACAGTAACGGAAAGGCTCGCAGTGGTTAAAATTAGTAAGTGCCCTAGATCAGGCTGTGTTGGCTTAAATAATAACCATCTATTTTTCCCACTTTTAGAAGCCAAAAAACCCCCAAAAAACAAATCCAAGATCAAGGCCCCTACAGGTCTAGTGTCTAGCGAAAGCTCGGGTCCTAGTTTGCAGTCAGCTTTCTGGTAAAGAGTCTTAAGTTTTCTTCACCTTTAGTCACTTACTTTTCTTCTAATTATGTTAATCCCATTATTGGAGGTAAGCCTTCCTGACCTCATGGCCTCATTTAAACCTAGATACTTAGAGAAGTTAATTACCTCTAATACCATTCCATTAGGTAAGATTTCAATGTGTAATATCTACACACATACATACATATATGTATGTATATTCATATATGTGTATATATGTACATATATGTGGATATATTTCCTCACACAAAATGTCCAGGTTGATGGCTGCTGGTGGTTGCTCAGCAGCTCTAAGGACATAGACTCAGCTTTGCACTCTGGCCAGTATACATTTTGAATTTCTATTTTCATGTTTATTGCCTAGTGGCTACAAGATAGCTGCATAGCTTCAAATATGTATTGGTATTCAATGTGGTCCCATTCCCAAAGATTGTTCCTGCACCAGTCATTTCCACTTTCCTCAAGGATTGCCAACAGACTGCACTGATGTTTCATTTGCCTGAATTTGGTCACATGGCTACTGCTACATATAATAGAGGCTGTGACATCAAGCTTCCAGCTTCTGCAGTCGAAATAATTGAGGAAGAAGAAGGGATGGCCACATGATTTGTGAGGATGAGGGCCAAATAAACATGAGGATCCACTGTTCACAATGCAGAATGAAATGCCCCCATGAATAGGCCTCTATAAAACCTTTTATTGGGCTGGGAATGTGTCTTAGTGGTACAGTGTTTGCCTAGCATGCATGAAGCACTGGGTTCAATTCCTTAGTACCTCACAGACAGAAAAAGCTGGAAGTGGTGCTGTGACTCAGGTGGTAGAGTGTTAGCCTTGAGCAAGAAAGAAGCTCAGAGACAGTGCCCAGGCCCTGAGGTCAAGCCCCGGGACTGGCAAAAAAAAAAAAAAAAAGCCTTTTATTTGCTGCAATCTTTATCTAGATTTTTCCATAATACATTTTATTTGTTATTGAATGGCATTAAATAAAGCAAGTTATAAGTGTTACTCTATTAGCATGAATTTTATCACTAAAGTTTAACTCCTATGTGAAATTCTCCAAATGAACTAATTTGTATATTACTACTTGTATATGTTTGTGTGTGTGTATTCTCCTCTCACCAGAGGAGTAGACACTGATTCAACTGCTTTTATTTTGCTTCTTGATGCATATCCACACTACCAAAGCTCTCTACTTATATATCACTGGTGGACGAATGGTGAATAGTAAAGCACAAAAAAGAACTATAGCTTGCTTTTTTTATTCTGTGTCATTAATTGCAGGGAACTAAAACCAGTAAGGCAGCTATGACAGCATTTTTTGCTCACTTGTGTTGCTTTTGGCAAGTTTCAGAAGCAAGTTTCGCTTCAAGCTGAAAGTGTGACCCCTTCAGGCTGCTGGCATGAGCCCCCAATCCCTCTATCAGTTAAAAAAAAATGAACACACTTGCACTCACTTCACTTTGAGACACAGACCTCTCACCCCCATGAGGCCTCTTAATTTTCTGCTAATGGACAACACATGTGCAAATGGCGTGTACAGAAAGAGGAGCCACTGCGTATTTCCCTCTACTTGGTGGCATGCTCCACTTTTCCCATTAGACTTTCTTTCCTGAAGTTCAAACACAAAATGTTTGAGAATCCAGGAGCCAACAGCAAAGCACTAATTACTGGTAGGGCCCTCCTGAGCTCCAAGGCCTATGCTACTAATGTCCAAGATGCACACTCAGGATGGGAGTCCTGAGGAGAAAGTCTTGGAAATGGATGATAGATAAGCCATGCATCTCCCATCCGCACAAGTGATCATTTAACCCAGAGTTAGGCCTTCTTCAGATGCAGATGTGGCTCCATTGAGCCCTCAGAGCACATGAGAAGCACACGAGAAAATAGTCAGCAAAACCAACAGTGAGTCACCTTGGCTAGAGGATGGAAGCTTCAGAATACAGGGAACAGGTCTGTATGCAGTGTTATCAGGTCCTGGCTTACCTGAAATAATAGAAGTGTGCAGAGAGGAGCCAATGCCATTGTATATAATAATC